CATTCACCGAAATTTGTAGTGCTTGAACAGCGTGAAAATTGCGTGGCAAGTTGTCGAATTTAAGCTTACGCGCACACACACACACACATACACACTTGTTAAGTGGCCTGAGCTTATGCAAATGCAGTTGGGCGATCTAGTTAGGAGTGTGCGTGCGCCTGTGTGTGTGTGTGTGTTTATGAATGCCACATGCGTTCATCTTATCTGCATTCGAGTTAACTTTTATTGTGCATACTTGGCGTCGCATCGCGTCGCGTCGCACAGTTGGTGGTGTTGGTAGTTACAAATGAATCTGCAGTTGGAGCCATAAAATTAAACTCAACCAAATTTGTGGCTTAACTGTAGATTATGTAATACTGAAAAAATAGCTGCAATAATCACTTGAACCATTTTGACAAAACTTGAGCGTTAACTCGACCAAAAAACACTTATGAGTTTGCATTTTGTACGCTGTGTCGGTGCAATTTTTCGTTTTGGTGGATGCACTTTTAGCCAAAAGCACGCCCATCGTTGCCAATCAGCAGCTCTGCTGCAATTATGTACACTTTTAGTGCTTACTTATTTATGTTTGTAGTTTGGCTGTGAAATAAATAAGATACATTGTAAACACATGTTTGTGGCTTGGTAAAAAGTTTTGAAAAATATTTTGCACACCTATGCTGGCAGCTGTCATTTCGAATTATTTGTTTAATTGCGCAACGTAGAAATGCGAATAAATAACTTAAATTTTTGCTAACAACGACTCAAAATTAAGGGGTGTCTAAAAAATACGTTTTCGGGTATATTATCGGTTTATTCGAAAGAGCAAACATTTAAATTATTTATGGAATATGATCTTAGTAATGCGGCTGCGCCGGTTGGCCCAAAACTTGCTAAAATGTCGCGTCCCTTTATAGACCGATTCTGTATCGGCGACAAGAAATTTTTCACTGACAAATTAAAACTTTTTCATATATTTTTCCGTAATAAAAACTGTGACAAAAATTTATCACTGATACAGAATAGAGCCGTTAAAATCTTATTTTGAAGATTTTTTATTTTGAAAAATTAAGATTTTTAGGGGAATTTCCCTAGCAACACTGTACACATCACCTATGTAAATTAGGAAAAAGTGCCATAGAACTTAAGTGAAATAGTTCTCAAGAAACCCTCTAAGGAAACTCATCTTTCGACAACGTCCACGTTTCAGCGACATTTAAAAGAAAAGGATTAGTAAAGTGTGATTTGCCGCGTTCAGCATGAGTAACGATTTACAGATTGTCGGGTATCAAAGAGCTCAGGTGTTTGTCTCTGGGCACATCGAAGAGAAAATATTTGTTCGACAGTGCTGTGGCTTTTCCTAAATCCAAAATGATGGTGGGGTATGAGATTTCGTTCTTCTCTAATTGGAATTAGGCCTTTTAGAAAAAGTCTTCCATAATTTTGGTAGTGAATGGTAGTAAGATAATAGGTCGATATGATTCAAATTTCTCGGAGTTTTTTCCGGGTTTGAGAATCATTTTCACCTCTGACAAGAAACGCCCTCCGGGAATAGCCCGTAATTAGATAGAACATAGCCAATAGTTTTCTTTGGCTTAAGGTTTTAAACTGCTACATCGGTTTTTCGAAAATTTTTTAAAATTCCGAATAAAAAGTTGGAAATTTTGATAATCCCTTTTTTTCAAGTTTATTAATTTTTGTGAACTGTATGCGAGCTTTGAAACTTTTATTTATGTGGTTTCTGTTATACATACGCTGGAAATCAAAAGTGTGTGCATGGTGTTTTTCGCTTAATATTTGCAATGTTCTTCAAGCTAAAATTTTTCGTTGTTTTTTTATAAAAATGTGGTTCATGCTTAAATTAAAACCATATACAGAAGTCAAACTTTACATAGACCATAGAAACGAGTTTTCGTATAAATTTTGACCTTTTTAATTTGAAGCTTTGGAAAAATTTTGAGTAAGCAGATAGATCGTTTTTTGTTTGTTTAATTCTAGTAAAACAAGGGCAAGTTTTAAGTGGCCAAAAAATGATTTTCAGTGATTTTCTGATTGCTGAGGCTTGGTAGAATATAATGCTCATGACCGTTTTCAAAAAAAATTAAAAAAAATAAATTAACGCTATATCTTACAAATTGTACTTTTTGTATGCATACAACCGCAAAATACGTCGGAAAAAATTTCTTTAAAAAACAATGCGATTTTCTAGCCGCTTAAAACTTGCACTTGTTTTACTAGAATTAAAAAAGCCGATTTATCTGCGTTCCTAAAATTTAGAGGAAAAATCGTTTCTGTCTAAAGTTTAAAGCTTTGGCTTATGTAGTTCTAACTGAACCATGAACCATATTTATAAAAAAAATAACAATGATACAGGTAAAACTTTCGTACTCAAAATAAATTGTAAAATAATTTTTCGCTTAAATAATTTGGCTTCATACAAAATTAAATATACAGTATTTGTATGCACGTCTTTAAAACGTAAAAATCAAAAAAAAAAAAAAAAACTGAACATTATATCACACTGGGTCCTTTGGCTGAAGAGAACATTTGAAATGAAAAAATTTACGTAAAAAAATTATATTTTCAAAACTAAAATGAAACATTTGAGATATTATTCCTAAAAATTGTAGTGCGACAAAACTTCCAACAAGCAACGTAAAACAAAACTATTTTAAAGTAAAAACGAAAATTTTATTTCAGTCAATTAAACATAAAAAAGATTTAAAAACAAAACGTTTTGTATTAGAATTTTCAAAGCTACTCATGAAATTGAAAAACTGTACATATATTTGTATTATTTGTCGGAAAAACTTTGTGCAGATGCTTTAACCTACACGCTTCTGCAGCAAAAGGGCGCAGAGATATATGAAATATCCTAACTCTAGCCAATATAAGCGACGTTGCTGATACTAGGCACTTTTCTATTAGAAAAATCTTTGGTAAGAGTTGTTCTAAACTGTTTTTTAATAACAATTCGTAACTTCTCTATGATATATTACAGGATCCAACTAGCATTGATGCATATGTATGTAGATATCTGTTCATGATTAGTTTTTGTAACTAATTTATATGTAAGTATTTATGCCTATCCATATCACTAAATGTATGACAATGTACATATATTTTTAATCAAAATAGAATTTTTAAGTCGGGTTTGAACACATAAGCATAAGGCATAAAATAAATATTTTAAAATCTCATCCGATTCTGCGAATTTTCAATTATCGAACGATTATTTTAAAAAGCGATTTGAAAATGTGCGCATTACAAATCAAAATATGTGACCTGGTCTACGGAAAGGGGCTTAGGTGTCAAAAAATCAATTTTCACTTTTTGGTTGATTCGGATGGAAGATGAGATGCTTTTTCACGTGGTGAAAAGCAGAAAATCCTAACTTGCTTAGAAGTGTACTAAAAATGTAGAGAAAGAAGAGTAAAAATACGACAAAATATAATTTACTTTTTTAAATGTTCCACACTAGCAACTTACACGATGAACTACAATAATATTCCGACCAACAACAACACTTACTGGACCAACAACAACACTTACTGGACCAACAACAACACTTACTGGACGTCCGGCGCGGAGAACAATTAACGAGATAATGAGAAAGTGACGAAACGAGTTGCTTACTTTTAACAGCTTTTTCACAGAAAACTAGTTTTCGCACGTAAGCTCCCTTTTCGTAGACCAGGTCACATATGAATTTTACAATATGAACTGAAAATGTTTGTCCTCAAAACTAAACTAAATATTGCAGGTGCAAAACTTGGATCAAAACGTTTTTAAAACCAAAACGTTCAATACAAATTTGAAAATATAAATTTCTCTGTGTAAATAAAAAACACCATGCACTCACTTTTGATTGTCAGTGCATATTGAGGTACATTTTAAATGAAAATTCTTAAAAATAACCAAGTGCAAGCTGCAATCAATACCCTCTTGGTTTTTGCCACGATTTTGGTGTCCGCAGCTGTAAGTTTTTGCGTTTACGATATTTTAAATTTCGAAATTTTATATTGTATATTGATATTCTCATCGTCTATTGCTTCCGATTCATATTTATTACCTTTCTTCGGCATCAAATTCTTGTGGCACTCTAGAAATTTCAGCGTTTGAAAAAAAGTCAAAATACTGAAAATCCAAAAACAAGCACAAACGTACATCTACGTTAGCGAAATCAAAAATTGAAAACAATCGGCCAGCCCTCAACAATTATTTTCACACATATTTAAGTACACATTTTCAGCAAAGCGCTTCATTACTTTTCATAGTATTCCCCAACATAGATGTATTTAACTGTTTTTTTGACTACTTGAAATTACACACCAATCACCTACGCTTGTCAAAAAAGTAATTGCCGAAGTCATAAAAATCAGCCACGCCAAACAGTCGTTTCCCTATAAATGCTATAACCGACCGCGGGTTTGCGTCTTAAGTCTTTCGTTTTATTTTCCCTCCCGACCATAATGCATTGCGCTGAGACCAAAGTGTTTAAGTATCAATTGCATAGACTAAATGCAAGCTGGCTGACTACAAGAGCATCAATTGCAATAAAATAGAAAACAATAAAAACAGTATGCATGGCATTTAACAACAATAACACGTACTTACATATTTAAACTATTAAACTATTGCCACATTCTGATATCAAATGTACATCTAAACACAATCAGCCCACTTATGGCGCATCAAGGAAATAAGTAAATTCAACACAAAATTTACAAACGAAAAGCAAATTGTTTGTATTTAAGTAAAAAATAAATAAATAATTAAATAATAACAACACTGCAGTTAAGAGCAAATTAGTTGGGTGCAAACTACATAGTGAGTGAGTGAGTTGGAGCAACAGAGAGGCAAAACGCTAAATCTTTGTACCCTGACGTGCAACAAGAGCAACAAAATTTGTAATGCCGCAAAACCACAAATCTAAAAATCCTCAAAGAGAGCGAGTTGAAGGTAACCATTGCCGGCTAAAGACGCAACATTTACTTTAAAAGTCACAGGCGCGGCAAACGCGAACGACAGATTAGTTGAAAACGCCGAGGCAGCAACAGCTCATAGAAAGCGGCAACAGCAGCAACATTTTTGTGAACGCGCGGTTTTCAATGTGCAATTAAAATACCACAAGTCAAGAAGAAGAGTGCAAAAAAGGTTTTCCATTTTAAAATAGTGATGTTATAAAATTAAAAAAAAAGTGTTACCATTGCGAAGTGTCGAAGTAGCATTGAGTACGAAAACAAAAAATATGCCACGAAATTTGTATGTGGAAAGAAAGTTGAGTGAAACGTAGAGAAGCGCAAGAGCAAAGCGACGGAAGAAACGAAAACCGAAACCGAGAAAAAACGAATATTAAAACAAACGCACTACCAGTCGATAGCAATAAAAATAATAAAACGTTAATTTGTAGCCACAAAAACACTAAAACAATAACAAACAGCATACCAATCAGCCGCTATTACAAATACATATATTGCATATTTGGACAGCGGTTTCGGTCGACATTCAATCCATTCGAACGGCTGCAAGTAAAAGTGATTTTGTTACCGGCCACAACGCACGTCGCCTGTGCTAAACAGTTTCAATATACATACATACATTTTATTACGACATTCAGTTTGGGATTTTTTCTTGTTGTTGTTGTGACATTGCTTGGTTCGCGCTGAACGCATAACTTCAAGTGACGTATTTGTGCATTGATCAAACCAACTCGCTGCGAAAAGAGTTGCTCTTTTAGGATAAAATATTCGATAGTGGCTGTGGATCGAAGATCACTTTTACTAGCTGGAAGCTGAAAAACAAACAATAAATAAAACCTAACAAAATGAAGGTGAGTTGACAAGTGAGCAGGTAATTTCGTTAAGCGAGTGTTTGATCTTAAATGAATGAGTGTTTGTGTGGCACGCATGCAGAAAATTCGAAATTAAATAAAATGCAGTCAAAAATGTTTAACCATAAAGCGTGCATTCAAATTGCATTCACATATTTATAAACAAACATACATACATACATATGCACATATGTGGTTGCAGCAAATGTGTTTT